AGAATGGTATTGGGATGTTACTTTCTTCAAATTTCAAGGCAAGATTATTTACTTTGTAATAATCTCTATATATTACTAAAAATTTTTTCGAATACTGATTCATTCTTTTCTCTTTAACAGGTTTGATTCTAGACCTTTTACTACCTGTTCTTTTCTTCCGTGTTGCAAGAAGTACTTATAATCGAAGAAACAATGAATTCCAACCACTTTTACACAATAATCCCTTCGATACAAGCTCCCTTGCTCCTCAGTATCAGTTAAACAGCTTGGTCGGTGCTGCTACTATACACCTTATCGGGAATTTATCAAATGTACTTGGCAATAACACGACAATCCCGTATGTATTTACTTTTTTGCTATCGTTATTCTTTCTAAAATTTGAATGTTTACACCTATTTTTACACCCATTTTAGGTCAATTATATTTAACTTGTCATACTTTATTGCTTTTCCAATGTACGCCATTTATGTACATCATGCTGAGAAAACTCGATCTAAATATGTTGTTCCTACAACGTCATTATGCCAATTCATTTTATTGGTTTTGTGGGCTACTTCTTTAAGTGCTATTGCCGTATTGATCTCATTTTATCGTCAAAAGTATAACTTTTAATATAGTATATCTATTATAACGTTATACTGTAAAGAAAGCAGTTGTAAAAGTTTTTCATATTTAAGAATTTAAATTTTATAACTTAAAATTTTATTAACTATACTGTTGAACATCTCAAAACCGATCCTGTCAAATATGATAAAAAATTAATCTATTAAGTTTGTTTCTGCTATATAAATCTGATAGTTTTTATATTTTTTTCAAATCTGATAACCTCCCAATACTGATGCATATCAGTTTTAAGATGGTCAACAGTATATTGCTTTATTTATCTATCTGAATCTTTATTACTTCATGATCATGTAATATATATATATGTTAAATTATATATTTGCATAATTAATCAAATAAATTATTATTTATTTATTTATTTATATTTTGCAAAAAAAAAAAGATCAATAGTTGACAATAGTTAACTTATACATATTTTTGTAATAATAAAAAATGTTAAGTTAATACCAGTGCAATCGCATTAAACGTATAACATGAAATGTGGAGGGATGGTTTAATTCGACTTTCTATGCTGATTTCCGCAAATCATTTATGGGTGCTTCTAGGCATCTCTCGCGGGAGATATATATCTCCATAGGGAGATGTATATCTCCTGCCAATAGCGATCCACAATTTAGTGTAACGTAACACGATCAAGAAAATTCAAAATAAACGTTCGTTCAAAGAAAAAAATGCTTATTTTTCAAGAAAACGCATAAGAAACCTCCTTTTGTGCTCTATTGAAAAGTTTTCTTTGTGCAAATTTACTATGTAATCTACTTACCTCTAACCTTAATCTAATGTAAATAACTTTAAAGGATTCTGGGAGATATATCTCCCGCGAGAGATGCCTATAACTTCCTATCATTTATTTGTTCATATTTACAGAATCACCTCTTTAAATGCAACCCCCTAAATGCACACCTATGAAAAGCCCAATGCATGTCTTCACTTGGGTTTGACTAATAAAATATAGTAGATCCCGTATAAAAGCATGCTGTATACTGTATAAATGCATAATTTTCAAAAAATTTTAATAGTAATATTACATTTAGACCATTAATTTTCTGATATTCGATTGGCTAATACTAAATACATAAAAGTATTATTACTATTGCGACCGGGTAAAATCGCCACTCCTGATAATAATAATATTTAGCAAAAATTAATTGATTTAGTAAGTGATTTTTTTTCGTCGATTCTTCAAAATGAAAAGTGATCGTTCTTTTAAAAGCATAAAATCTAATAACACAATAGTCTAAAAATATACCGTAACCAAATTTTCACCAACAATAAACGAAAAAAAATGAAATTCGAAATAAACTAATCGAGAAAATGCAATTGCATCAGAAAACCTTGTAGATTTTATCTTAATGTTCTTCCGGAAGATTATAACTCTGATTATTTATTTAAGCAAAAAATTTTTATAATTCAGAATCCGAAACGCAACAAAAAGAATTACTGAAGAAAGTAACATCCCAATACCATTCTAACTGACTGGTGATTGCAACAGCAGAAATTGAATATACTACTACGACT